TTCGCAGGCATATAGCAGGGTTGGGAGGACAATAGCTTTATAGACAAGCACCTTGATATCCTACGGATGTCCTGGTCCTCAAACGCTCTCTGCTTCATTCGGGAAAATGCTGCACTCGCAGAGCTCAGGCGGTGTTGTATTTCAGTGTCAGTGTTGACGTCTGTAGACAGTCCACGTTTCGCAGGCATATAGCAGGGTTGGGAGGACAATAGCTTTATAGACAAGCACCTTGATATCCTATGGATGTCCTGGTCCTCAAACACTCTCTGCTTCATTCGGGAAAATGCTGCACTTGCAGAGCTCAGGCGGTGTTGTATTTTGGTGTCGATGTTGACTTTGGTGGAGAGGTGGCTGCCAAGGGAGCGGAAATGGTCAACATTTTCCAATGTTACACCATTAAGCTGTATCTCTGGCATTGAGCCATCCAGCCATACATATAGATAGATTGATATGATTCACACACACACAGATAAAGTATTATAGGTTTGAAAGGGGCTCCTAAAGATGGACAATGATATGTTGCATGTTCAATAGAAGGCAAACCAGACAATCTCTATGTCAACACTGACAAAGAAACAGCAAGAAATACCGTTTACCCACAAGCATCAAGACATTACATATATTAGAAACCAACACTTTCTAATTACTTTATTTTCCATATCACCAGACTGGGCCACAGCAACGCGTGGCAGGGGACGGCTAGTAATTCATAGTTTTCTTTGTTGTGCCAGTCCTTTTTTTCCCTATTGTCTTTCACTCTTCCCAGCATTATCGCTTAGAGAGCATTCCCTAGTCATAAAACAGAGAGCGGAAATTGTGTTATTTCCTTGGAGGGATGAGTCTTTACAACCCCGGACACAAAGCAGCACATTTCCAAAAGGAAGGATAGCTGTGATCTAGGCATTTTGCACATTAGCATCCTTTGGAAGAATTTGAGCCTGGTTGTAATTATACACAATTGGTAATCACGGCTGTGGTAATTGGTCCCCCTGCCCATTTTGTGGCGATACAATATCCATTATCCAAAATGCTTGGGACGAGAAGTCTGATTTTTTTTTTACGACTTTGTGTTATTTTCGGCCACATCCTGAGATATCTTAGAGATGGGACCTAGCTCAAAACACAAAGTTTGTTTATGTTTCATATGCGCCTTATACACATAATATGATGCACAATAGGATGCATAATATGAAGATAATATGATACACAATTGTTTGAATATTTTTTTGCATGGAACAAAGTTTGTGCCAGTCAGACCATCAGAAAGCAAAGGTCTCACTTTCTCAACCATCCCAAAATTTGGATTATTTTGGAATTTTGGGCTGCTTGACCTGTAAATACTTTTAGAATAGAAGAAGGAATGGATTGTGGTATGTTTTCCAGGCTGTCTAGCCATGTTCCAGAAGCATTCTCTCCTGACGTTTCACCTGCATCTGTGGCAGGCATCCTCAGAGGTTTTGAGGTCTGTTGGAAACTAGGAAAATTGAGTTTATATATCTATGGAATAATGTCCAGGGTGGGAGAAAGAACTCTTGTCTGTTGGAGGTAGGTGTGAGTTTCAAGTGGCCACCTTGATTAGCATTTAATGGCCTAGCAGTTTCAATGTTTGGCTTCGTACTGCCTGGGAAAATCCTTTGTTTGGGAGGTGAAACAATCAGGGCCAGCTAATCACCTCCCAACAAAGGATTCCCCCAGGCAGTAAGAAGCCAGACATTGAAACTTCAAGGCCAGAGCTGGCGTTGTCCGTAGACACCTCCGAGGTCATGTGGTCAGCATGACTGCATGGAGTGCCATTACCTTCCTGTCAGAGCAGTACCTCTTGATCTACTCACATTTGCATGTTTTCAAACTGCTAGGTTCGCAGAAGCTGGGGCTAACAGTTGGAGCTCACCCCGCTCCCCAGTGATCTTTTGGTCAGCATGACTGCAAGGTGCGCCTTATCCACGGATATATAAACCTCATTTTCCTAGTTTCCAACAAACCTCACAACCTCTGAGGATGCCTGCCATAGATGTGGGCAAAATGTCAGGAGATAATGCTTCTGGAACATAGCCATACAGCTTAGTGATTCCGGATGTGAAAGCCTTTGACAATACAAAAGAAGTAATGTTTTAAGATAACATAAATGCCATGCAAAGCTGTCAAAAATGTTCTTGGTCTTCTTCTCTACAGGGCTATGTGCTATTAGCATCAGATCTACATCATCGACTCCACAACACCATGTAGTATCCATTGACTTCTGGAAAGGACAAAGGCAAGAAAATGCATTGATGAACCACTGACATCTCAAGACTGTATGCTGCTTCATCTCCTTCCAGGGCGGTGATCACATGACTTATTATGGATAACTATCTGTCGGGAAGGCTTTGATTGTGTCTCCCAGCAGAAGAGGGTTGGATTGGATGACCATTGGAGGTCCCTTCCAACTGTAGAATTCTGTGGGCAGAGCTGCACCTTGGCTAACCTTTGGTTTGGTTTGGACTGTTGTGTGGTGGCTCCCCAAATGACTGAAAAATCTACTCTTCTGCCAGCACATCTGTGACATTCACACAGCAACATGGAGATGCTAAAGAAGTGTGATTTCCCCTGTCATTTTGTCATTTGGGAGTTGTAGTTGCTGGGATTTATAGTTCACCTATAATCAAAGAGCATTTGAACTCCACCAACGATGGAATTGAACCAAACTTGGCACACAGGACTCCCATGACCAACAGAAAATGGAAGGGTTTGGTGGGCATTGACCTTGAGTTTGGGAGTTGTAGTTCACCTACATCCAGAGAGCACTGTGGACTCAAACAATGATGGATCTGGACCAAACTTGGCACAAATACCCCATATGCCCAAATATGAACACAGATGGAGTTTGGAGGAAATAGACCTTGACATTTGGAAGTTGCAGTTACTGGGATTTATAGTTCACCTACAACCAAAGAGCATTCTGAAGCCCACCAACAATAGAATTAGGCCAAACTTCCCATATAGATCTCCCATGACCAACAGAAAATACTGTCTGTGATGGTCTTCGGCGACCCCTCAGAAACCTCCTCGCGACCCCTCTAGGGGTCCCGACCCCCAGGTTGAGAACCACTGATCTAAGATCCAGATCCACTGCACAATCTTTTCACCGTATCTGTACAATCTATCCCAGGCTTGGGCAAACTTCGACCCTCCAGATGTTTTGGACTTCAACACCCACAAAATTTGACATATGCTTGTGAAGAATGAGTGTGAACTGGGGAGAATTTATTTCCTCTCTTTTTGTATTATAATGTGTTTAATAAAGCTTACTTTCTGAAAAAGAAATTATTATTATTATTATTATTATTATTATTATTATTATTATTATAACTTTATTTGTACCCCGCTAGCATCTCCCGAAGGATTCAATGCAGCTTACACGCTCTGGTCACATCCCGCCTTGACTACTGCAACGCTCTCTACGTGGGGCTGCCCTTGAAGACGGCCCGGAAGCTCCAGCTAGTCCAGCGCGCGGCAGCCATGTTACTAACAGGAGCGGGACGCAGGGAGCATACAACGCCCTTGTTGTACCAGCTCCACTGGCTGCCGATCTGCTACCGGGCCCAATTCAAGGTGCTGGTGTTGGCCTACAAAGCCCTAAACGGTTCCGGCCCAAAATACCTGTCTGACCGCATCTCGGCCTATGAGCCCACGAGGACTTTGAGATCGTCCGGGGAGGCCCTTCTCTCGATCCCGCCTGCCTCACAGGCACGCCTGGCGGGGACGAGAGACAGGGCCTTCTCGGTGGTGGCCCCCCGGCTGTGGAACACCCTCCCTGTGGACATCAGACTGGCACCCTCCCTTATGACATTCCGCAAGAGACTAAAGACGTGGTTGTTTGAGAAGGCATTTGAGTAAGTGCTGCAACAATTGGCAATGACGATTGGAACGGAACATGGATAACGAGATTTGGATTGTGATTCAACGATGAGACGTCGCGAATGATTTAGTGTAACTGTATTATTGATAGTGATGTTGTTTATTGTTGTTGTGATATTGCTTATGTCGTAAATTGTACCTGGTTTTATATGTTGTACACCCCCGTGAGTCGCCCTAGGGCTGAGAACGGCGGTCTACAAGTGCAGTAAATAAATAAATAAATACACAGGCTGAAGCCCCAAAACACAATACAACAATACAATACCTAAAGCAAATTAAAAACAGTTAAGCAGAAAAACAATAACAGTAACAATACAACAAGACACTATTAAAACTGGGCCGGCCAGAGTAGGGGTACAGGATTAAAAGTGCTGATGTGGCGGGAGGAATGTGGGATTATAAAGCAAGTGCAGTGATCTTGGTTCTACTAAAGTGCTTCTAGGATTTGGTGCTGGAGGTTCCTAGTCTGAGAAGGCACATCAGAACAGCCAGGTTTTCAATTCCTTTCTGAAGACTGCCAATGTAGGGGCTTGTCTGAGATCTTTCGGGAGGGCGTTCCAGAGTCGGGGGGCCACCACAGAAAAGGCCCTGTCTCGTGTCCCCACCAAGCGCGCTTGCGACGTGGGCGGGGATCACGAGCAGGGCCTCTCCAGATGACCGGAGTGAGCGTGTGGGTTCGTAGACAGCGATGCGGTCACGCAGGTAGGGTGGTCCCAAACCGTTCAGGGCTTTGTAGGTAAGCACCTGCACCTTAAATTGGGCTCGGAAAATAAACGGCAGCCAGTGGAGCTCCTTAAACAGGAGGGTTGACCTCTCTCTGCTCTCGATCCCACCTACCTCACAGACACGGCTGGTGGGGACGAGAGATAGGGCCTTCTCGGTGGTGGCTCCTCGGCTGTGGAACACCCTTCCCGTAGACATCAGACTGGCTCCTTCCCTGTTGATATTCCACAGGAAATTGAAGACTTGGTTGTTCAAGAAGGCGTTCGAACAAGAAGTGCAATAATTGGTAATGATGAAAGGAATGGAACAACGGAAAATGGTACTGGATTGTGGTTTGGACGATGAGACGACGTGGAATGGCTTTTGTAGTAATGATGATGTTTTTTGATGATGTTTTTGTTAATGCTAGACCTGGATATTTTAGACTGTGTTTTGAATTTTGTATCTTGTTCTTCTATGTTGTACACCGCTGTGAGTCGCCCCCGGGCTGAGAACTGCGGTATATAAGCAAAGTAAATAAATACATAAATAAATAAATGAGCCCCGGTTAACATTCTGGCCGCTGCCCGCTGGACCAGTTGGAATTTCCGAGCCGTTTTCAAGGGCAGCCCAACGTAGAGCGCATTGCAGTAATCCAATCTAGAGGTGACCAAGGCATGGACCACCCCGGCCAGATCAGCCTTCGCGAGGTATGGACGCAGCTGGCGCACAAGTCTCAGTTGTGCAAAAGCCCTCCCGGACACCGCCGACGCCTGAGCCTCAAGTGTGAGCGATGAGTCCAAGAGGACTCCCAAGCCACGGACCTGTGGCTTCAGGGGGAGTGTAACCCCGTCCAACACAGGTAGCCACCCTATACCCCGATCCGGTTTACGATCGACCAGGAGGACCTCTGTCTTGTCGGGATTGATCTTCAGCTTGTTCGTCCTCATCCAGATAGACACAGCGGCCAGGCACTCGTCCAAATCTGGACTATTTCCTTTTGTAAAGGGCACTTTCTGGTGGAAGAGGGATGAGACTGTTTTGCCAGTTTCTCCCCCTGATATAATATCTTCCTGAGATTCACTGCTGATCTCCCACCCAAGTGGTAACCAAGGGTGGCCCTGCTTAGCTCCCAAGATCACATAGGATCTGGTGCCTTTTGGGTATTCAGCTCCATCACTATTCCCCAAGGGATTCAACTAGTCTTAGAATGGGTTATTCTCGAATGGAAATCACAAGCCACGTGGCAACCCATTTTGGCTTCAAAGGCATTATCTCCATGATCTTTTGTGCTCTAGCATAGTCTTTTGTTTTAATGGCAAATAGATGCATTTGCACGAATGAATTAATGCACCTGGATACCGCTTTCACTATCCCAGCTCAATGCTAGGGAATCCTAGGAGATAAAAGTATACCAGTTCATAGAATCATAGAATCAAAGTTGGAAGAGACCTCATGGGCCATCCAGTCCAACCCCATACAACCCAAAAAACCTAGAACAACCCAGATCTTGGAGTCCTTGTGGGGAGGAAGGTGAACATGAGCCAACAATTTTATGCGGCAGCTAAAAAAGCCAATGGGATTTTGACCTGCATAAATAGAAGCCATGTGTCCAGATCCAGGGAAGTCATGCTACCCATCCTCTATTTTGTCTTGATCAGAACACACCTGGAATCACACTGTGTATAATTCTGGGCACCACCATTGATGGGAGATGTTGACTGTAAGCTGGAATGTGTCCAGAGGAGGGCAACTCAAAGGATCAAGGGTCTCGAGAACAAGCCCTATGAGGAGCGGCTTAAAGAGCTGGGCATGTTCAGCCTGCGGAAGAGAAGAATGAGAGGGTACATGGTGAGGGCCATGGATCAAGATGTGAGGGAAAGTCATAGGAAGGAAGAAGCAGGCTTGTTTTCTCCTGCCCTAGAGACTAGGAAGCAATGGAACAATGACTTCAAACTACAGGAAAGGAGATTCCACCTGAACATTGGGAAGAACTTCCTAACTGTGAGAGCTGTTCAGCAGTGGAACTCTCTGCCCCAGAGTGTGGTGGAAGCTCCTTCTTTGGAGGGTTTTAAGCAGAGGCTGGATGGCCATCTATTTGGGGTGCTTTGTGATTTTCCTTCTTGACAGAATGAGGTTGGACTGGATGGCCCATGAGGTCTCTTCCAACTCTAGGATTCTATTTTTCCTGCATCTTAGAAGAATCGGGTTGAACTGGATGGCCAACCAGGTCTCTTCCAACTCTAGGATTCTTTGATTTTATTAAACATAACTGCCTCTCTAACCATTATAGTGCTACTATAGGCTGGATGGCCATCTCTCAGGGGTGCTTTGAATGCAATATTCCTGCTTCTTGGCAGAATGGGGTTGGACTGGATGGCCCATGAGGTCCCTTCCAACTCTTTGATTCTATACTCTCTCTAGAAAATTTTTTAAAAAATCTCTTTAATTAATTTCTTAGTTGTTGGCATTAGCCTAGGTACCTGTTTTTGGTTTTCTGTTACATCTGTAACATCTGTAACATCTGTTACATCTGTAACAGGCTGCAAACTTTCGGTGAAAATATGTATTTGCTTTCAGTTGTGAGTTGAAATTTTGTACACAGAACTGCAAAAGGGAAATCTGACATTTGGAAAAAGACAGACCTGTGTTTGCTCGGTTACTTCCCTATGTTAGACCCCTTTTCTTTGCTCTTTGTCCCTCTTCCCAAAGTTTAGATAAGCATGGGCAAACTTGGGCCCTCCAGGTGTTTTGGACTCCAACTCCCACAATTCCTAACAGCCTACCGGCTGTTAGGAATTGTGGGAGTTGAAGTCCAAAACACCTGGAGGGCAGCTGCACCTTCTAACTTTATCTAACCCAACTCACAGAACCTTTATTTGGCTAAACGTTCTGGGTGCGAAAACCCCACAAAAGAGGGTCTGTTCTTTGCTCAGCCCTTCTGCAATTTGCAGGACTCTTAGCTTGGAGTGTCCTCTTGGTGTTTGCACACAGGAAGAGGAGGGGTGAAGTGTCCGGCTAGGATTTGACCCTTGGTTAGCCTTAGCCAACCTTGTGCTTCATGAGCCATCCTTTGAACGGGTTCTAGACCAGAGCTAGTCAACACAGGGCAGTCAGAGAGGTGGCTAGCTATTAAGACATATAGGCCAGACCCCATCCTTAACAGCAAGAGAGGCCCACAAAAGGGAGAAAAGGGGGCCAGGCTGTCTCCTTAGCCCGTCCCCTTCTCTGCAGCCAGGCTTGTGCTATAATAAGAGTCCCTGTTTGGCAGCTGTTGGGGCCTTGGCTGCTTGCCACTTTCCAAGCAGCCGAAAAATAAAAAGGGAGCCTGTTGCTGCCTCCATTTCCCACGTCGGCTGCAGCTCCATCTCGGCCCCACGGTAAGTCTGTGCCGTCACCGCTGCCGTGTCTCCAAACCTTGGCCTGTTTCTGAGCTTGGCTGCTTCCTGAGACACCTGATTTGGGGATCCCCCCTCCGACTTGGCCACCAGTTTGGTCCCACTTTTGCCAGACTCCATTTTCGCTCATTACTTGGACACTGAGGGTCCCTTCTGTACTTCATTGCCTTCTTGTTTTCCTTTGCAAACTGGAATCAGGGTCTCCTGTCCTGCCTTTCTTTGGCACCCCAAGTTCTATTTGCACATACTTTCCACCTTGGCACCCCATTTGCACAGAACTTTCACCCCATATAGTCCACAGATGGGCCTAATGTTTCACAATCTGTGTCCCTATCAGCACCTCGGGAACCTTGGTGGGTACGAAGTCATCCCAGGCTTTGGCAACACTTTCGCATGAATAGAGGTCAGAAAGGACGGCTGTCCAGCTCCTTCCGGACAGCGACCACCTTGCCTTGGATTCACTGGCATCTGGCTAGGCCAATGGGCAGTTGGGACACTGTCCACATAGTTCTTGTGGACAGAACCATTTGTTTTATTTATTTATTTACGGCATTTGTAGCCCGCCTTTCCCAGCCTTACGGCAACTCAAGGCAGCTTACAAAATTGGCAGGATTTGATGCCATACATTCATAAAAATACAGTTAAAAACATTCAACCTAAAATTATTAAAAACATATAAAACCATTAAAACATATAATTATCCAGCAGCAGCATCTACCTCTAGCCAAATAGCGAGAAACCAGGAGAGAGGGAACCGTGTAGTGTAGGCCTGTCTTGTTTTCTAGTTTCCTTAGGTCTATGTAGCTCAAGGTGTTTTGCTTCCAGTCTGCATGGAGGTGCCACTTTCTCCTTCTTCCAAAAGTTCTTAATTTGTTTCAGAAGGGAACATCATGAGGCCCCTCTCTGCCTCAAGATGGCTAACATCAATAGCTATTACTACTACTACTACTTCTACTACTACTACTAAAGTTGGGCGAGGGAGGGGTTGGGCTGGATGGCCTTTGTGGTCTCTTCAAACTCTAGGATTGTAAGAAATGCAGCTTTGAGTAGACATGCTCCAAGGCAAGGATACTAGTGCTTCCAAAATTTCTACAGCAGGCGCATGCAAAGTTGGGCACCCCAGGTGTTTTGGACTTCAACTCCCACAGTTCCTAACAGCCAACTTTGCCAACTGTATCCATGCCTGCTCTAGAGATTTTGGATTGTGGGAGTTTAAGTCCAAAACACCTGGAGTGTCCAACTTTGCACGTGCCTGCTGTAGAAATTTTGGAAGCACTAGTACCCTTACCTTGGAGCATGTCCACTCAAAGCTGCTTTTCTTAGCAGGCATGGGTAAAGTTGGACACTCATAGAATCATAGAGTTGGAAGAGATCTCATGGGCCATCCAGTCCAACCCCCTGCCAACAAGCAGGAAAATTGTTTTCAAAGCACCCCCAACAGATGGCCATCCAGCCTCTGTTTAAAAGCCTCAAAAGAAGGAGCCTCTACCACACTCCGGGGCAGAGAATTCCACTGCTGAATGGCTATCACAGTCAGGAAGTTCTTCCTAGTGTTCAGATGGAATCTCCTTTCTCATTGTTTGACGCCATTGCTCCGTGTCCTAGTCTCCAGGGAAGCAGAAAGCTTGCTCCCTCCTCCCTATGACTTCCCCTCACATATTTATACATGGCTATCATGTCTCCTCTCAGCCTTCTCTTCTTCAGGCTAAACATGCCCAGCTCCTTAAGCCACTCCTCATAGGGCTTGTTCTCCAGACCCTTGATCATTTTAGTCGCCCTCCTCTGAACACATTCCAGCTTGTCAATATCTTTCTTGAATTGTGGTGCCCAGAATTGGATACAATATTCCAGGTGTGGTCTAACCAAGGCAGAATAGAGCATGGGGAGCATTACTTCCCTGGTTCTAGACACTATGCTCCTATTGATTCAGGCCACAATCCCATTGGCTTTTTTTTGCTGCTGCATCACATTGTTGGCTCGTGTTTAAATTGTTGTCCATGAGGACTCCAAGATTTTTTTTACACGTACTGTTCTTGAGCCAGGCGTCCCCCATTCTGTATCTTTGCCTTTCATTTTTTCTGTCTAAATACAGAATGGGGGATGCATGGCTCGAGTGCGGTACGTGTGAAAAAGATCTTGGAGTGTTTTAGACTTCAACTTCCACAATTCCTAAAAGCCAACTTTGCCAACTTTGCCCATGGCTGCTCTAGAAATTTTGGATTGTGGGAGTTGACGTCCAAAACACCTAGAGGGCCCAAGTTTGCCCATGTCCTTTCTCTGCAATTAGTTTCCATTGTTCTGCAGAGCAACCGAAGGCAATCTTCTCCCCTCCTCAATGGGACCTCCTTTTCAATACTGATACATGGTTGTCATGTCCTTCTGAACCTTCTCTTCTCCAAAGTAAACATCCCTTGCTCCATGAGCATTATATTATGGCTTTGGAAACATACTCAGCCATGGAAACACACAGTGGACAGGTCAAATTCTCTTAGTCTCAGAGGAAGGAAACTTGAAGGCACTGAACAACAACCCTCACCATATGTTACTCTAGGTGAGAAGATCAGACATTATGTGACACTTTTTTTTGTTCCTGGGTTATAAATATTGTTTCCTAATTGGTTTCCCTAATTGGGAAAAGTGTATTAAACTGCAAAACCTTTTGTTTTGTAGGAGTGACATCTTGCAGCACATTTTGCTATAGTTTCTCAATGAATATCTCATAGAGTCTCAACCTAGTTTTGTAGCATAATGTAAAATAAACAATGTGTAGTTCACATTTGATCAGCCCACACACTGCCTTGCCAGAGAAAGAAAATATGCCATGTGGGTGAATAGTAAAGAACAAGTAGTTTACTCTTCAAAGCTCAGAATAGCATATGTACAATGTGATCAGTTGCATCAACTCACATAATGTCCTTTTATGAGAGATTCAAAGTAGTCTTTCTTTGTCCATGTGGATAAAGACACAGGGAGGAGGGAGCAAGCTTGTTTTCTGCTTCCCTGGAGACTAGGACACAATGGAACAATGGCTTCAAACTACAAGAAAGGAGATTCCATCTGAACATGAGGAAGAACTTCCTGACTGTGAGAACCGTTCAGCAGTGGAACTCTCTGCCCTGGAGTGTGGTGGAGGATCCTTCTTTGGAAGCTTTTAAACAGGGGCTGGATGGCCATCTGTCAGGGCTGATTTGAATGCAATATTCCTGCTTATTGGCAGAATGGGGTTGGACTGGATGACCCATGAGGTCTCTTCCAACTCTTGGATTCTATGATTCTATGAAACTCCTTCAACAGTTCATGAAGCAATAGTACACTCCAAACTCTGTCTCTCTCTTCTTCTCTCTTCAAACTTGTCCTTCTCTGCACCTGCATAGCTCAAGCCTGAACAAAAATGTAACAGTATCCAAAAGTCCCAGGCTTAGCTATCTCTCTGGACGTAGTCTGACCAATCAGCTTCACACATCTTATTTTACAGTTGGCATATACGCACTCACTGATTCCTTGCATGTTCCAACAAATTTGTAGCAGCCACAAAAAACAAAGTTTCTGATATATTGCAACAACTTTCAAAGTAAGGACCACACAATTAAACAGGAAATAACACTTTCAAATGTTTCAAATTCTGTTACATAATATAATGCTTGGCTTACAAACCTTTGATCATTTTGGTCACCCTTCTCTGGAAGCTTGCCTACCTCCTTCTTGAATTACTTTGCCCAGAACTGGACACAGGTTTATTATTCCAAGTGAGCTCTGACCAAAGCAGAATGAAGTGGGAATACAGTTCCTCATGTTGTGGTGACCCCCAACCATAACATTATTTTCGTTGTTACTTCATAACTGTAATTTTGCTACTGTTGTGAATCCTCATGTTACTATCCAACATGCAGGATGTATTTTAATTCACTGGACCAAATTTGGCACAAATACCCAATGCGCCCAAATTTGAATACTGGTGGGGTTGGGAGGAGGGATTGGTTTTGTCACTTGGGAGTTGTAGTTGCTGGGATTTATAGTTCATTTACAATCAAAGAGCATTCTGAACTCCACCAATGATGGAATTGKACCAAACTTGACACACAGAACTCCCATGATCATCAGAAATACTGGACAGTTTAGTGGGCATTGACCTTGAGTTTTGGAGTTATAGTTCACCTACCTCCAGAGAGCACTGTGGACTCAAATAATGATGYATCAGGARCAAACTTGGAATGAATACTCAATATGCCCAAATGTGAGCATTGGTGGAGTTTGGGGAAATAGATCTTGACAGTTGGGAGTTTTAGTTGCTYGGATTTATAGTTCACCTACAATCAAAGAGCATTCTGAATCCCACCAACAATAAAATTGGACCTAACTTTCCACACAGAACCCAGACGACCAACAGYAAATACTGTGTTTTCTAATGGTCTTTGMCGACTAAATTTGGCACAGATACCCAATACGCCCATATTTGGAGCTGGAAGGGGATTGATTTTGTCATTTGGGAGTTGTAGTTSCTGGGATTTATAGTTCACCTACAATCAAAGAGCATTCTGAACCCCACCTACAATTGAATTGAACCAAACTTGGCACACAAAACACCCATGACCAACAGAAAATACTGGAAGGGTTTGCTGGACATTGACATTCAGTTTTGGAGTTGTAGTTCACCTGCATCTAGAAAGCACGGTGGACTCAAACAATGATGGATCTGAACCAAACTTGGCTCAAATATTCAATATCCCCAAATACAAACACTGGCAAAATTTGGGGAAAATAGGCCTTGACATTTGGGAGTTGTAGTTGCTGGGATTTATAGTTCACGTACAATCAAAGAGCATTCTGAACCCCACCAACAATAGAATTGGACCTAACTTTCCACACAGAACCCAGATGACCAACAGAAAATACTGTGTTTTCTAATGGTCTTTGATGACCCCTCTGACACCACCTCATGACCCCCCAGGGGTCCCGACCCCCAGGTTGAGAAACGCTGATCTACACACTCAACTCTATTGATGCAGGCTAGACTTCCACTGGCTTATTTAGCTGCTGTCTCTCCTGACTCTGCTCTGGCATTATATGCCACCTTCTCACTTGCTTGACATAGATTGCAAAGATGCATAATGGGGGACAATGCCTGGCTCGACTATCCCTCTATTCTATTCTGCCTTGGTCAGACCACTTTACCTGGAATCACACTGTGTCCAATTCTGGACACACAATGGAAGGGATATGTTGACTCTAAGCTGGAACGTGTCCAGAAGATGGCAACTCAAATGATCAAGGGTCTGGAGAACAAGCCCTATGAGGAGTGGCTTAAAGAGCTGGGCATGTTTAGCCTGAAGAAGAGAAGGCTGAGAATAGACATGATGAGGGCCATGGATAAATATGTGAGGGGGAGTCATAGGGAGGAGGGAGCAAGCTTGTTTTCTGCTGCTCTGGAGATGAGGACGCAATGAGACAATGGCTTCAAACTACAGGAAAGGAGATTCCACCTGAACATTAGGAAGAACTTCCTGACTGTGAGAGCTGTTCAGCAGTGGATCCCTCTGCCCCAGAGGCTGGATGGCCATCTGTCGGGGTGCTTTGAGTGTTATTTTCCTGCTTCTTGGCAGAATGGGGTTGGACTGGATGGCCCAAGAGGTCTTTTCCAACTCTAGGATTTTATGTTTTCACGATGTCTCCAGATGCTGTCGTTGATGTCCATGCGCATGGGGATCCTGACCAGAAGAGGAGCTCTCAGCGCTGCTGCCATTCAAACGGCACATGGTCATGGTGGACATGGTAAGAATGACCCCATCATAGTCTTTCCTTGGCAAAATTTATTGAGAGGGGATTTGCCTTTGCCTTCATCTGAGGCTGAGAGAGTGTGACCTGCCCACTATGGGTTTCCATGGCTGAGTGGTTTTCCAGCACTATTGTATAATCCTCAAACAACTCTTCTATCCTGGGTCATATATGTCCTCCCCCCTAACGCAGCTTCCTCCAAACCTGGCTTCCTAACAGGACTACAACAACCATCATCCCCAGCCATAACTGCAAATTAATGTGGTGTGATTCCCCACTTTTTATAAAGCAAAAGACACTTATAAAAATTAGATCTCCCATATGTTCCATAACATTGAGCTATGGTGTCATAATTGAATTCATTCCATAGTGCAATATATTTGCACCACAATTTGGGGAAACAACAACAGCAAAAATGCTGCTTGCTTACTTACTAACTTAGATGATCCCTCATTATCCGAGTAGGATTGTCATCTGAGATCGGTGTACTGGTGGTGGGTACATAGGTGACTGTGGAGCCCTATTCTTGACCTGCATGTTCTCCCGCAGTGAGGGCATCGGTTTCCAGCTGGAAGGCTTGACACGCCATCCTCTTGGCACATTTCTCTCTTTCGCCCACCATTCGTGCCTCTTCAAATTCTGCAGCACTGCTGGTCACAGCTGACCTCCAGCTGGAGTGCTCAAGAACAGGGCTTCCCAGTTCTTAATGTCTATGCCACAGTTTTTAAGGTTGGCTTTGAGCCCATCTTTGAATCTCTTTTCCTGTCCTCCATCATTGCATTTGCTGTTCTTGAGTTTGGAGTAGAGCAACTGCTTTGGGAGATGGTGGTCAGGCATCCGGACAACGTGGCCGGTCCAGCAGAGTTGATAGCGGAGGACCATCACTTCAATGCTGGTTGTCTTTGCTTCTTCCAGCATGCTGACATTTGTCCACTTATCTTCCCAAGAGATTTGCAGGATTTTTCAGAGGCAACATTGATTGAATCATTCTAGGAGTTGCATGTGACATCTGTAGACAGTCCACGTTTTGCAGGCATATAGCAGGGTTGGGAGGACAATAGCTTTATAGACAAGCACCTTGGTATCCCTACAGATGTCTCGGTCCTCAAACACTCTCTGCTTCATTCGGGAAAATGCTGCACTCGCAGAGCTCAGGCGGTGTTGTATTTCGGTGTCAATGTTGACTTTGGTGGAGAGGTGGCTGCCAAGGTAGCGGAAATGGTCAACATTTTCTAATGTTACACCATTAAGTTGTATCTCTGGCATTGGGGAGGGGATGGCTGGTGACTGCTGGAACAGCACTTTGGTTTTCTCGATGTTCAGTGACAGGCCAAGCTTCGTGTATGCTTCTGCGAAGGTGTTTAGAGTGGCTTGTAGATCTTCTTCTGTATGCGCACAGATGACATTGTCATCAGCATACTGGAGTTCTATAACAGATGTTGTTGTAACTTTGGTTTTGGCTTTCAGTCTGCTGAGGTTGAATAGCTTGCCATCTGTCCGATAGATGATTTCCACTCCGGTGGGAAGCTTCCCATCAACAAGGAAGGCAGCGCTGATGGAATTGTTCCAGGAGTTGCATGTGACATCTGTAGACAGTCCACGTCTCACAGGCATATAGCAGGGTTGGGAGGACAATAGCTTTATAAACAAGCACCTTGGTATCCCTATGGATGTCCCGGTCCTCAAACACTCTCTGCTTCATTCGGAAAAATGCTGCACTTGCAGAGCTCAGGCGGTGTTGTATTTCAGTGTCAATGTTGACTTTTGTGGAGAGGTGGCTGCCAAGGGATCGAAAATGGTCAACAATGCTGCAAACAATCATAGGTTATCACCCAGACAAGAGTTCTTTCTCCCAACCTTGGACATTCCGCAGATATATAAACCCCACTTGCCTAGTTTCCAACTGACCTTACAACCTGTGAGGATGCCTGCCATAGATGTGTGCAAAAGGTCAGGAGAGAGTGCTTCTTGAACATGGCCAGACAGCCCAGAAAACTTACCGCAATCCAGTGATTCCAGCCATGAAAGCCTTCGACAACAAATAGCCACCAGCACATCAAAACATCAAAACATCCGGGTGTCCCCTGGGCAACGTCCTTGCAGACGGCCAATTCTCTCACACCAGAAGGGACTTGGAGTTTCTTAAGTCACTCCTGACATGACCAAAGCCACTAGCAACATTGGGTGGAAGAGTTGGTGCAAACCTAGCTGCTCTTCTTAGCATGCCCACAAGAGGGCCATTTCCTTGACCTGTTGATATTCCAAGGGAAAGAATCACAGAAAGCTTAGGGACCCTAAAGGTCATCTAATCCAGCCCCTGACATTACAAGAATCCCCAGTCTGAGAGTTGGCTGTCTAACAATTCCCAAAAATAGAGAGAGATTTCACCATCTTCTCAGGGAATCCGGGATGTGGCCATGGTAGATAGGAAGGAGAGGAAGTTGTAGTGCAGGCATGGGCCAACTTGGGCCCTCCAGGTGTTTTGGACTTCAACTCCCACCTTTCCATATACACACACAAACACACACAAAACACATACACAGAAAGGAGGAAAGAAGGAAGGAAAAAGAGAAGGAGGGAGAGAAGGAAGGAAAAGAAGGAGAAGGAAGGAAGAGAAGGGAAAGAAGAGGAAAAGGGAAGGAGAAAAGAGAGGGAAAAAGAAAGAAGAAGAGAGAAAAGAGAAGAGAAGGGAGAGAAGAGAGAAGAAGGAAAAAAAGAAGGGTAGAGAAGGAAGGAGGAGAGAAGGAGGGAGAGAAAGAGGGAAAAGAGGGAGGAGGGAAGAAGAGAAAGAAGGAAAGAAAGAAGGGTAGAGAAGGAAGGAAGGAGAGGAGGGAAAGAAGGAAATAAAAAAGGAAAGAGGAGAAAAGAAGAGAGAAAGGAAAAGAAGGAGGGAAGGGAGAAGGAAAGAAAGAAAGGTGAGAAGGAAGAAGAAGAGAAGGAGGGAGAGAAAGGGAAGAGAGAAGGAAGGAGAGAAGGAAGAGGAAGAAGGAAGGAAGGAAGGAAGGAAGGAAGGAGAGAAGTAGGGAGAGAAAGAGGGGAAGAAAGAGGGAGAAAGAGGAAAGAAGAGAAGGAGGGAAGGAGGGAGAGAAAGGGAAAGAAGGAGGGAAGGAGAAAGAAGGAAGAAAGAAGAGGTAGAGAAGGAAGGAAGGAGAGAAGGAGGAGAATGAAATAAAAAAGTGAAAGAGGGAAGGAAGGGGAGAAGGAAAGAAAGAGAGAAGAGGGAGGAAGGAAGGAAGGAAGAGGAAGGAAGAAGAAGGAAGGAAGAGGCAAGGAAGGATGGAACCAAAGAGCAAAGGAAGAGAAAAGAAACAGGTAGAGAAGGAAGAAGAAGAAGAGGAAGAAGGAAGAGGGAAGGGGGAAGGAAGGAGAGAAAGAAAGAAAGAGAGAAAGAGGGAGGGAAGGTTGGCCACAGCAACGTGTGGCGGGTACCGCTAGTAAACATATAAAATATGAATTCAGCTAATTCAGTGATGAAGGTCCATGCTGACATATCTCGGTTGCTGTTTCTCTCTCTGTTGACAGTCTCTACCCAAGAGGACCTCTCCGTGCCCCTTTACTATGACAAGCGCAGTTATCCGCTGCCGGACGCCCCGTTTTGCAAAGATCTGGACGTCACGCAGAAGGCCCTCAAGGAGAAGGAGAAAGGCTCCTGGGCGCAGCTGAGCAACGAGGAGAAAGTGGCCTGTGAGTAGGATGCAGCAGAATATAGGCTACTGGATAAGCTTCCAAGCCGATTATCAAGCGAAGCAGAGGATGGATGGCCATCTGTTGGGGGTGTTTTGATTGTGCCTTTCCAGCATTTCAGAATGGGGTTGGAGTGGATGACAGTCTTCCAACTATGATTCTATATCAGGCCTGGGCAAAATTTCTAACTTCTAGCGTGCTAGCCCTCCCTGCTAGGAAGACTGGCTGCCTAGTGATGGAAGGAAGGGAGGGAAGGAAGAGGAAGAGAAGGATGGAAGGAGAGAGGGAAGGAGGGAGGAAAGAAGGGAGGGAGGAAGGAAGGGAGGAGGGAGGGAGGGAGGAAGGGAGGAAGAGAGGAGAAGGAAGAAGGAAAGGAGGAAAAGGGAAGGAGGAGAAGGAAGGAAGGGAGAAGAGAAGGAGGAAGGGAGAGGGAAGGAGGAGGAAGAAGGAGGGAGGAAAGGAGGAAGATAAGATGGAAGGAAGAGGGAAGGAGGGAGGGAAAGGAAGGAAGGAAAGGGAGGAGAAGGAAGGAAGGAAAAGGAAGGGAGGAAAGAAGGAGGGAGGAAAGGAGAAGAAAGGAAGGAAGGAGAGAGGGAAGGAGGGAGGAAGAAGGAAGGAAGAAGAAGGAAGGAAGAAGGGAGGAAGAGAAGGAGAAAGGAAGAGAAGGAAGGGGAGGAAGAGGGAAGGGGGGAAGAGGAAGGGAAGAGAAGGAGGAAGAGAGAGGGAAGGAGGGAGGAAAGAAGGAAAGGAGGGAGGAAAGAAGATGGAAGGAGAGAGGGAAGGAGGGAGGAAAGAGGAAGGAAGGGAGGAAAGAAGAGGGAGGGAGGAGAGAAGGATGGAAGGAGAAAGAGGAAGGAGGGAGGAAAGAGGAAAGGAGGAAAGAATGAAGGAAGGAGAAAGGGAGAAGAGAAGGGAGGAGAGAGGAAGGGAGGAAGAAAGAAGAAGGAAGGAAGGAAGGAAGGAAGGAAGGAAGGAAGGAAGGGAGGAGGAGAAGAGAAGAGGAGGAGAAAGGGAAGGAGGGAGGAAAGAGGGAAGAGGAGAAAAGAAGGAAGGAGGAAGGAGGAAGAGAAGGAGGAAGGAGAGAGGGAGGAGGGAGGAAAGGGAAGGGAGAAAGAAGGAAGGAAAGAAGAAAGGGAGAAAGAGAAGGAGAAGGAGAGGGAAGGAGGGAGGAAAGAGGAAGGAAGAAGGAAAGGGAGGAAAAGAAGGATGGAAGGAGAGAGGGAAGGAGGGAGGAAAGAAGAAGGAAGGAAGAAAGGGAGGAGGAAGGATGGAAGGAGAGAGGGAAGGAGGGAGGAAAGAAGGGAGGAAAAAGGGAGAAAGGGAGGAAGAGGAAGGATGGAAGGAAGAGGAAGGAGGGAGGAAGGGAGGAGGGAGGGAGGGGAGGAGGGAAGAAAGGATGGAGAAGGGAGGGAAGGAGGGAGGGAAGAGGGAAGGAGGGAGGAAAGAAGGAGAAGGAAGAAAGGGAGGAAGGAAGGATGGAAGGAGAGAGGGAAGGAGGGAGGAAAGAAGGGAAGGAGGAGGAAAGAAGAAGGAAGGAAAGGGAGGAAGGGAAGGATGGAAGGAGAGAGAAGGAGGAGGAAGAGGGAAGGAGGAGGAGAAGAAGAAGGAAGAAGGAGGAGAAAGGTGGAAGGAGAGAGAGGGAAGGAGGGAGGAAGAGGGAAGGAGGGAGAAGGAGGAAGAAGGGAGGGAAGGAGGAGGGAAGGGGAAGGAGGAGGAAAAGGAGAAGGAAGAAAGGAGAAGAGAGGAGGAAGAGAGAGGGAAGGAGGGAGGAAGAAGGAAAGGAGGAAAGGAAGGAAGAAAGGAGGAAGAGGAGAAGGAGGAGAGGAAGGAGGGAGAAAGAAAGGGAAGGAGGGAGGAAAGAAGGAAAGAAGGAGGGAAGGAGAGAAGGAGGAAAGAGAGAGGGAAGGAGGGAGAAAGAAGGGAGGGGGAGAGAAGGAGAAGAAGGGAGGAAGGAGGGAGGGAAGAGGGAAGGAGGGAGGAAAGAAAGGAGGAAGGAAGAAAGGGAGGGAAGGAAGATGGAAGGAGAGAGGGAAAGAGGGAGGAAAGAAGGGAAAGGAGGAAAGGAAGGAAAAAGGGAGGAAGAGAAGGATGGAAGAGAGAGAGGAAGGAAGGAAGAAAGAGGGAGGAAGGAAGGGGAAAGGGAGGGAAGGAAGGAAGGAGAAAGAGGGAGAGAGAGAAGGAAAGCTGGCCTTTGCTTTCCTCAAAGGCTGAGAGAGTGTGACCACCCAAAAGCTCTCTATCTCATTCTCAATGTTCTGCTAGACAACCATAATCTGTGGAGGGGAACTAGAGCTCCTTAGTACTGCAATTCCCCAACTTTAATGCTACATATATTTTGAACTCTAGTTCCCCAAAACTTCATACATCAGGGATCCTGCAAGCTGAAGTTCAAAATGTTTGGAGGACCAAAGACTTGGGGTTCATCTCTTGTATCAAATGAATGCAGTTTGGCACCCTTTTAATTACTGTGCCTTGATGCTATGGAGTCCTGAGAGTTGTAGTTTCACAAAGCCTTGAGCCTCCTCTGCCAAAGAGGCAGGTGATAACGTGGGTCTCCCTCCCTCATTTATTTCTTTTGCAGTGTACCGGATAAAGTTCCACCAGACCTACAGCGAAATGAACAAGCCCAGCAACGAGTGGAAGACCGTCCTGGGAGCCATCTTCTTTTTCTTTGGCGTCACCGGATTAATCGTTTGGTGGCAACGCATGTTTGGTATGAGAAGGAAGACGGGGCAGGAAGAGTGAGGGGAGTGGGGCAGTCTTGTAATCTGGGAATCCTGCTTAGGAACAACCCTAGGCTGCAAAAGGTCAACTATATTGACCCCAAGTTACCTTGGAGAGCTGCACATCCTTGCATTTGGTTCCCGTTGTAGGCCTTCAGGTCATTGCCAATCCATTGCAATGGTAAGGTCTACTTCCTTAGCAAGGTTTGCTCAAAGGAGCTTTGCCCTGGCCTTCTTCTGAGGCTGAGAGAACGTGACCTGCCCAAGGTCATGGAATGTACCTTGGTAGGGATATTTGGCACTAAATGCTGCCAGATATCCCTACCAGATGCAATTTTGCCACATGTTTGGAGGAGGGTGGACCATGGATGATGGGACTTCAAGTACCTTCACTCACTTCCTGAAAACAATGCAACCATCATCCAATGACTAATAAAGACCAAACTTGGCATAAAGACTCGCCATTACCCACTTTCTCTAATAACCCGGGCAGCGACGGGTCCACAAGCTAGTATATAACTAGCTTACAAGGCTCATCTTCTAAGGAAGATAAAAGGGTAAAATATCAAAAGTATCCATTCAGCTACATTTTGCCTGGAGACTGGCAAACTGTGTCCTTACTTGAAGGAAGACAAAGGCAGAGAGAGGGCAATGGAGAATGTCCACATGGCCAAACCAGGGCAATAAAAATAGGTCCAAGAGAGGCTTTTATTCCAAGAGAGATTGAATGACTTTTCTGGGCCTAAAATGACCCAATGTATGTCTGTCTGTGTCTTCAAGTCCCGGGTTGACTTATGTCAGCGTTTCTCAACCTGGGGGTCAGGAGGGGTTGTGGGGGGAATGACAGAGGGGTTGCCAAAGACCATCAGAAAACACAGTATTTTCTGTTGCTCATGAGGATTCTGTGTGGGAAGTTTGGCCCAATTCTATCATTGGTGGGGTTCACATTTGGGCATACTGAGTATTCCTGCCAAGTTTGGTCCAGATCCATCACTGTTTGAGTCCACAGTACTCTTTGGATGTAGGTGAACGACAACTCTAAAACTCAAGGTCAAACCCCACCAAATCCTTCTAGTGTTTTCTGTTGGTCATGGGAGTTCTGTGGGCCAAGTTTGGTTCAATTCAATCATTGGTGGAGTTCAGAATGCTCTTTGATTGTAGGTGAACTATAAATCCCAGCAACTACAACTCCCAAATGTCAAGGTCTATTTCCCCCAAACCCCACCAGTGTTCACATTTGGGCTGTGTTTTTCAGTGGTTTTATGAGTGATGGTCACTCGTTGGCCTGATAGGTGTATTGTGTCCACATTTGGTGTCAATTCATCAAGTGGTTTTTGAGTTATGTTAATCCCACAAACAAACATTATGTTTTTATTTATATAGATACTAGCCGTCCTCTGCCATGCATTGCTGTGGCCCACATGGGGGTTGTGGGGGAATGACAGAGGGGTTGCCAAAGACGATCAGAAAACACAGCATTTTCTGTTGCTCATGGGGGTTCTGTGTGGGAGGTTTGGCCCAATTCTATCGTTGTTGGGGTTCAGAATGATCTGTGATTGTAGGTGAACTATAAATCCCAGAAACTACAACTCCCAAATGTCAAGGTCTATTTTCCCCAAACTCCACCAGTGTTCACATTTGGGCATATTGAGTATCCGTGCCAAGTTTGGTCCAGATCCATCATTGTTTGAGTCCACAGTGCTCTCTGGATGTAGGTGAACTACAACTCCAAACTCAAGGTCAATGCCCACCAAATCCTTCTAGTGTTTTCTGTTGGTCATGAGAGTACTGTGTGCTCAAGACCTTGCAAAACTACAGTCTCCATGATTCCATAACATTGAACCAAGGCAGAAAGTGGATTCATTCTTCAGTATACGTTTTCTTTTCCATGGCTGGAAACTTCGCTGCTCATGCACAATTTTAAAGAAGGAATTCCAAGCATTGAAAAAGAATGCATTTTTTGCTGCTAAGCATTATTTTCAGCTGCAAAAACTATTTCATAGAATCATAGAATCAAAGAGTTGGAAGAGACCTCATGGGCCATCCAGTCCAACCCCCTGCCAAGAAGCAGGAATATTGCATTCAAATCACCCCTGACAGATGGCCATCCAGCCCCTGTTTAAAAGCTTCCAAAGAAGGAGCCTCCACCATACTCTGGGGCAGAGAGTTCCACTGCTGAACGGCTCTCACAGTCAGGAAGTTCTTCCTCATGTTCAGATGGAATCTCCTTTCTTGTAGTTTGAAGCCATTGTTCCATTGCGTCCTAGTCTCCATGGAAGCAGAAACAAGCTTGCTCCCTCCTCCCTGTGGCTTCCTCTCACATATTTATACATGGCTATCATGTCTCCTCTCAGCCTTCTCTTCTTCAGGCTAAACATGCCCAGCTCTTTAAGCCGCTCCTCATAGGGCTTGTTCTCCAGACCCTTGATCATTTTAGTCGCCCTCCTCTGGACACATTCCAGCTTGTCAATATCTCTCTTGAATTGTGGTGCCCAGAATTGGACACAATATTCCAGGTGTGGTCTAACCAAAGCAGAATAGAGAGGGAGCATGACTTCCCTAGATCTAGACACTATGCTCCTATTGATGCAGGCCAAAATCCCATTGGCTTTTTTTGCCGCCACATCACATTGTTGGCTCATGTTTAAGTTGTTGTCCACGAGGACTCCAAGATCTTTTTCACACGTACTGCACTCGAGCCAGGCATTGTCCCCCATTCTGTATCTTTGCATTTTGGGATTTTGAAAAAAGAGATGCACTTTAGATTCGTTGGCTCATTAGACTCGAGTAAATATGGTAGAAGCTTTGGACTTTGCAGTGTTGTGTGTGTGTGTGTGTGTTGCAGTGCCAGATGCTTTCCAGCAGTGGGAGCCCCTGCCTTCGCTTCCTAATCCCAATTACTCCCCCCAACAACTCGGCCCAGGCCTCTTGCCCACAGCGGAGGATGTGTTCCTGGACCTTTGGAGAGTAAACAACACCCTCCTCCCCCCTTTCCAACCCCAAAGATATGTCAGCTTGCACTCCCAAACATCAGGGTTGGGAGGAGGAACAAAGGGGCCGCTTGTTTGCCTTGCGCTCTGGTCCCTTGTGGCTGGTTGCAAAGGAGCTGTTTTCTGGGGATTTGCAAGCGCGGTCCATCTGCCAAGTCAAGGGCATGGAGGCCGGAGGGGAACAACATGCTGGGAAGGAGGAGGAGGAGGAGAAAGACCAGCCACTGCCATAGAATACATTACATGCTCAATGTAGACCGGCCATGGACAACTTGGGCCTTCCCTCCAGGTGTTTTGGACTCTAACTCTCACAATTCCTAACAGCCAGTAGGCTGTTAGGAATTGTGGGAGTTGGAGTCCAAAACACCTGGAGGGAAGACCCAAGTTTGCTCATGTCCAGTGATTGAAAGATGCTCGGAGTCCCAATATATATGGATTGGGAATCAGATGTTTACTTGATCTGTGTTCCGTCACGCAGGAGAGGAAAGTGTGCCCAGGTTCCCAAAAGTGCTGCTAGGAATTGTGGGAGTTGGAGTCCAAGGCCGAAGGGAAGTTGGAGTTGGAGTCCAAGGCCCAAGGGAAAGCCCAAGTTTGCCCATGCCCAGTGATTGAAAGGGGCTCTAAGTCCCAATATATATGGATTGAGAATCAGATATTTACTCGATCTGTGTTCCATCACACAGGAGAGGAAAGCATGCCCAGGTTCCCAAAAGTGCTGTTAGGAATTGTGGGAGTTGGAGTCCAAAACACCTGGAGGGAAGGCCTAAGTTTGCTCATGTCTAGTGATTGAAAGAGGCTCTGAGTCCCAATATATATGGATTGGGAATCAGATGTTTACTTGATCTGTGTTCCGTCAGGCAGGAGAGGAAAGTGTGCCCAGGTTCCCAAAAGTGCTGTTGGGAATTGTGGGAGTTGAAGTCCAAAACACATGGAGGACCTAAGTTTGCTCATACCTGGTGATTGAAAGAGGCTCTGAGTCCCAATATATATGGATTGAGGATCAGATATTTACTCGATCTGTGTTCCGTCACGCAGGAGAGGAAAGRYTGCCCAGYTMCCCAAAAGTGCTGTTAGGAATTGTGGGAGTRSYAGGRCCAAGGGAAGTTGGAGTGGSAMRTGGAGTCCAAGGCCCAAGGGAAGYCCCAAGTTTGRRCATYCCRGGTGATTGAAAGAMMCTCTYAGTCVCAATATATATGGATTGAGAATCAGATYRTTACTCGATCTGTGTTCRGTCACGCAGGWMAGGAAAGTGTGCSCAMGTRCCCAAAAGTGCTGTTAGGAATTGTGGGAGTTGGAMTCCAAGGCCCAASAGAAGTTGGAGTGGGAGTTGGAGTCCAWGGCCTAAGGGAAGGCCCAAGTTTGCCCATGCKTGGTMATTGAAAGAGGCTCTGAGTCCCAATATATATGGATTGAGAATCAGATATTTACTTGCTCTGTGTTCTGTCACGCAGGAGAAGAAAGCATTCCCAGGCTCCCAAAATTGCTGTTAGGAATTGTGGGAGTTGGAGTCCGAAACACCTGGATGGTCCACGTTTGCCTATACCTAGTGATTGAAAGAGGCTCTGAGTCCCAATATATATGGATTGAGAATCAGATATTTACTCGATTTGTGTTCCATCACACAGGAGAGGAAAGTGTGCCCAGGTCCCCAAAAGTGCTGTTAGGAATTGTGGGAGTTGAAATCCAAAGCACCTGGAGGGATGGCCCAAGTTTGCCCATGCCCGGTGATTGAAAGAGGCTCTGAGTCCCAATATATATGGATTGAGAAGCAGATATTTACTTGATCTGTGTTCCGTCACGCAGGAGAGGAGAGCGTGCCCAGGTTGCCAAAAGTGTTGGTGTCACGAAATGATGAGCTTTAAGCATACATGCATATGTCCCAATTAATCAAGGCTGTCGCTCGACTGAATGAATCACTGCTCGAGTGTGCCCTTGCTTAATTGGGGAGCAAGATTTTGCATGCTTTCTGATAGTAATTCTTATAAAATCGGTGAAGATGA